GCTTTTTGCTTGACTGCTTCTGTAATTTCATTTGCCTCGAAGAAATGCTGCAAGATCTCACAATATTCTTCCCAAGACTGAGATTGACTATCAAAAGGTGTGACTGTTCCTACCATGTTGGCCATCTTCTTTTCCCAAGCTCCAACTTGTATGGATTAAACTTATTCACCTTCCAACACTTTTTCCTCTTCAAGGCGTTTCTTCTCTTGCTTTCATCCTCGTTGCCAAAATGTAATAACTTGCAGGAGACAAATCCGTTAAAGGCAGTTCATTTACTCAAGGAACATCAAGCCAGCAGTACACTTGAGAACAGTTCCAGGTGGAACACATGTCTACTGACAGTTTCTTCTTTGATATGGAACTGTAATGCGGTCAAACCTGCCTGGAACTACTTTAGCCGTGCGTTTCCCTGAAAATAATTGCACACCTTAGAACGTTCTCAACCAATCAGAATCAAGCATTGTAAGGAATAATTGACGCCGGGCCGTTGAATTATTAGAAAAATAATGCACACCCGAGGTGTAACGGCCACTCCGCTTCGCGTCGTGACCGCATAACCACCTCGGGTGTGCATTATTTTTCTAATAATTCAACGGCCCGTCGTCAATTATTCCTTACAATGCTTGATTCTGATTGGTTGAGAACGTTCTAAGGTGTGCAATTATTTTCAGGGAAACGCACGGCTAAAGTAGTTCCAGGCAGGTTTGACCGCATTACAGTTCCATATCACTGCGCATAGCTAACTGTCATAACGGAAAATAGGATACAATTCATAACAAGAAAAAACATGCAGCCCATGCGCTTGATCTGCCATTTTCGATGTCATTTACTTTTGCCTTCCCTATACTCCTGCTCACTACAGTTTAGAGGATGCCTTTCAAGACAATCATTGGCAAACACCTACAGTAGTCAACCAGAATGCCTATTATCGCCGCAGAAAAAACAAACCAGTCACATTTCAAGTACTTCGCGAAATGACCTCCAGGTGGCGCAAATGGATACTGTGCAAAACAGCAGCAATATTGCCGCATTTTGAAATGTAAGTGGGGTTAATGTCAATTAAAGGAGAACTCCGGCGCAAAATGAACCTTTGGTCTAATTACACATTGTTACCTAGTCAACCGTTATCTGAGATTTGTTTTCATGATTATCGAATGTAAATAGTTTTATCTCTACAAACAGTTTAGCCTATAAAGCTAGTATAACGCTAGTATATTGGGCATAGTGTAATGACAAATAAAAATCGCTTGTTAATACCACTAACAAGGCTCAAAATAGCCCCACACTAGCACGGTAGCATAATGAGGGTCCCTACCTTCAAACCGAAGCATTGAGAACTTTGTCAGTGTCCAGACAGTTTAATAAGAAGATATTTTAAACATACAGTCAACTTCGCGTATACAGGCAGAAGCCATCTTTGAAATACAGCCTTTACCAGTCGATCTACGAACGCCGATCCAAGCCTGCTGTTCGCGCTCACCTTATCACAACTTATAGCTCGTTCACATTCTCACCAGCGCACTTGGATTGGCGTTCGTAGATCAACTTCTTCTTGTGGTACCATCTCAAAGAGGCACAAAATCTCTTTCTCGGACCTTTACCATGGCTGTTCCCTGTTGGTGGAATGATCTGCCTAACTCAACCAGAGCTTCTGAGTCAGTAGCCACTTTCAAGAAACTGCTGAAGACATATCTTTTTCGACAGCACTTGATTCAGTAGAATTAACACTTTCTCTTCTCTTCTATTCTATAAAAAAAAAAAAAAAAAAAAACCTGCACTAAGATTAAACTGAGAGGGGTTATAGCACTTACGTATTGTTGTCCTACTGTTAGTCTAACTGCTTCTATTGTTCTCATTTGTAAGTCGCTTTGGATAAAAGCGTCTGCTAAATGAATAAATGTAAATGTAATGTAAATGTAAACTGGTAAAGGCTGTATTTCAAAGATGGCTTCTGCCTGTATACGCGAAGTTGACTGTATGTTTAAAATATCTTCTTATTAAACTGTCTGGACACTGACAAAGTTCTCAATGCTTCGGTTTGAAGGTAGGGACCCTCATTATGCTACCGTGTTAGTGTGGGTCTATTTTCAGCCTTGTTAGTGGTATTAACAAGCGATTTTTATTTGTCATTACACTATGCCCAATATACTAGCGTTATACTAGCTTTATAGGCTAAACTGTTTTTAGAGATAAAACTATTTACATTCGATAATCATGAAAACAAATCTCAGATAACGGTTGACTAGGTAACAATGTGTGATTAGACCAAAGGTTCATTTTGCGCCGGAGTTCTCCTTTAACAGTAAGGATGAAAAACTACAACTATGGTAAACAGAATATATATATTTTTAGGCCAGAAAACGAGAACAATATCCTATATTTCATAGTGTAGGCCTATCTAGACGTTGGTTGGCGACAAGCCTCTTCCCCGGGGGAGCAGCGCGATAACAAAAAAACAAACAACAAACAAACAAAAAAATTTTTTTTTATAAAATATACAAGTCTTTGCATTCTGATTGAATTTGTTAAATAAATTTAAGAATCTGTCATAAGAGGACAGATATATATGACAATGATCCTGCATTATATTGTATTATAACGACGATGTAATATTAGCCTACCACTAAACTTTGACTATATGACCATATGCCCATTGCCATCATGAAATTATGTATTTTGCTTCCCTAGTCTTATGTGTCATATTCTTATTGGTTGACTGTCTTGATCGTTCACAGGTGTTTCTTGTTAGTCATTAGTCTTAAATAGCCCTCATGTTTCCATTGTATCTTGTCTAGTTTTGTTTGTGTAACCGCTGTTGGTGAGTCTCGTGTGTCCGTGCCGGTGTTTCCTTGTCCTTGCCGGTGTCTGTGCCGATGTGTCCGTGTCTGTGCCGGTGCTGGTGTCTGTGCCGGTTTTGTCCATGTCAGTGCCGGTGTGTCAGTGCTGGTGTGCCCATGCCGGTGTGCCGGTGTCCATGCCCGTACCAGTGTCCGTGCCCGTTCCGGTTTGTCAGTGTCTGTGCCGGTGTCCATGCCGGTTTGTCAATGTCGGTGCCCATGTGTCCGTGCTGGTGCCGGTATCCGTGCCCATACCGCTGCCGGTGTCCGTACCGGTGTGTCCGTGTTGGTACCGTACCAGTGTCCGTGCCGGTTTGTCCGGTGCCGGTATGTTTGTGTCCGGTACCGGTGTCCCTGCCGGTTTGTCCGTGTCCGTGCCTGTGTGTCCGTGTCGGTGCCGATCTGTATTGTATGAGTCTCATGTAACCACCGTGCCGGTTTGTCCGTGTCCGTGCCGGTGCTCGTGTCTGTGCCAGTTGGTGTCCATGACGGTTTGTCCGTGTCGGGATGCCCGTGTCGGTGTGTCCGTGCCCGTACCAGTGCCTGTGCCGGTTTCTGTGTCGGTGCGCCTGTGCCGGTGTCCGTGCCGCTTTGCTATCACATGAATAAATTAAATATGTACATTTTATAAATATATTAAAATAGAATAACAGGTATTTTAATTTGTATTAATATGGTCAAATTCAAGTTTTCTGAATTTGTGTTCTGTCACATTTTAAATGTTTGTGTTGTGTCTGTGTTCTGGCTTCTCCATCCCAATATACTGTACAATGCGACTACATTCACATCACATGTTAACACAGAGGTCAAGTTACACTCACGGGATACTGCAATTTACAAAAGTTCATTATTTGATGATGCTTTAAAGCCTTGCCAGTTAAGCATTTGACCGTGTCTGCCGCTATTCCATCACAGGAATAAATTTAATTTTTACGTTATATAAATATATTAAAATAGAAAACAGTTATTTTAAATGAAGTTCCTAAACGTAAGTTAGGGAAGAGTGAGCCAATCTAATCTTTCAGTCAACAGCCTGAGTATACAAGCAGCCGCTTACCTCTCTCTAGCATCAGCTGTTCCAGTATCCCTCCACCTCCCCAAACTCCACCTTCATCTTAGGTACCTCGCCCTTTTAATTATCAGGTCCAACATTTAGCCACTGGGGGGGGGTATATCAGAGCTCGAGTTGAAGCTGCTTCATCGAGCCCCTCTCCAGTGGACAGCAAGGCAAGCCAAATAAGTTTAACCTAATATCTTAAAGATTTTATGGGCAAACGAACTTGTTAATTTGTAATAATATTGTCACATTGTATTGTATGAGTCTCATGTAAGCAAGTCAAATTCACGTTTTTTTGCCGTGTCATGTCGGTGTACTTTATGTAAATGATGACAATTTTCATTTTTGGGGGAACTATCCCTTTACTGTTAATAAAACAACAACACAAAACAAAGAAAATCACTCGCTGTTCTGAGAACTTTAATAGTAGCTTTAATAAGTATCAATGTATAATATATACAGTGAAGTCTATGTAGTGTTTTATTTTTATATTTGTTCATTTAATTTCTTTCTTGAATGCTTGTTAAGTACACCTACTGTATCTGAAAAAATAAAGCACTGTTTTTTCATTTGTATATTATGTTGTGTATCTTTGTTCTTATCTTTTAATAACAAAGAAAATAATGACAAAGATTTTTATCTTTGCCACTTTGGCCTAAATGTCTGCCATTCTTTTTTATTGTATATGTTGTTACCTTGTAAGGCTTTGTTTTTAAAATAGGGACATTAGTTTGGCTGTAATGCTCAGTCACTTGCAAAATAGTAAAACCAACATGAAAAAGAATCGTGATATGATATTTTTGCCATATCACCCACCCCTAATTCCAATAACTCGGAAATATAATATAATATAGGGGCTAAGACTGAAAAGACTCTGGCAAAGTGCTTTGTTAAGATGTTGACTACAAAGATTGAGAGAAAAGAATTTTTTCAAAAACAAAAGTTTAATATACATTGGAAAAACATAAATATGTCACAAAATGTATTGTCAAATATGTGATTTATAGAATTATGTTAAGTTATAGCTGGACATCTCAAATCAAACAGATTAACTTGATTAATCTTGACTTTAGATTAACTTGACTTTAACTAAAGCTTAAAAATGTATGTACAATGCCAGCGAACCAATCACACGATTTCATTCAAAGCTATAGGATGATTGTGGCTAGCCTTATTTTCTTCCATCTAGTCCATTTCTGTCGTATCAAGCTCTGTGAGAAACTTCTGGCACTTAGAGATGAGGACATTAATGGCCTCGGTAACCAGGACATCAGGAGGGAGGATCCCTGTGGACTCCACTGAGACTAAAAAGAAAACACAGAAGAAAATGTTACAATACCTTTGGTAAATCACCACAAAACAAACCTAATGCAACACTTTTGATTGCGAACATACATATGAAATGATCCCGCACTCTGCCCAGTTTCACCAAGTTCTTCAAGTCATCATGCCGAAGAACTTCTCTGCTGCATGTGTCCAAACGACTGTTGACAACCTTAGCTACCTTCCTTCCTGAAATGCACAATTATTGGATTATAATACAACAACAAAAGCACCAAATATCAAGACTACATGTAAATATAGTGGAACAGTCCTACCGTTCACATTCTCTAGCTCAATAACTCCAGGAGAGAAGCATCGCTTTAACCTCTCCGCTTGTTCTCCCTCAATGGTCTGTAATAATGTGATTTCAGGAAGGAGTCTGTAGCTTGCGGTAGCCACAGGAGAAAACTTGGCATGATCCTTGCCTGGGAGGTGCAACAAATCTCTCCAGTTAATCACACAATTCATAAACAATATACAGGAAACTAGGGATTGGACACTGGAGTTAGATAATAACTAAAACTTTATTAAAGAAAAATATATATGCCTCCCTGGAAATCAAACATCTTCTTGGCCTCTTATATTACTCACCTATTCCTTTGACACAGTGCATGACTATATCAAGTTCCTGCCCTGGTCGGAGTTGTGCCAGGAGAATGTCCCCATGCACAGGACCAATCTTGGCATCTGCAAATACATCGGCCTGATTTCCAACTGGGAGCCATTTTATGTCACCTGAGTAGACTGAAACAAAACACAAGTGTTCAGTGACATGTTGTAAAACAGTGCAGTGATAACTAGAGTGTTTGTCATGGTTGGGAATTAATATCTTTGTGAAACCCTCATTATTTACACAAACTGTTGTTCCAAAACTGTAGGACTCTTTTTCGTGGAACACAAAATGAGATGTTAGGCAGAATGTTTGTTTGACAGAGTAAATCCCCTTTTACTTTCATTACATAATTTTTTTCCATAGAAGGAAAGGTGACTGACCGAAACCTTCTGCCTAACATATTTTGTGTTGCATGTAGGGCTGTACAATTAATGTAAATAAAGCAGATTCAATTTCAATATGGTTTACTGCGATTATCAAATTGCAACGGCTGCGATTCATTTAAATAACTATATGAGCTGCATGTTTCAGTGTGTAGCACGTGTTCGTTTACTGTACATGCAAGCAGCTGATGTCATGATCCAGCGTTTTTGCTGCTCCACACAAACTCATCTCTGCGTGTGCTCTGAGTTTGGGTTACTTATAACATGCATTTAGGAAGACAATAACCATATTCCAAACTTGTAATGAGAAATGCTTATACATCAGCTGGTGCCAACAAAAGAGAAGCTTTATGGGCTCCCTGTGGTTTTCCAGTGAAATAAAAGCTTAAATTTTGAAAATGAAGAAATTAAGACAACCATTCATATCAGAATTGTAATTTTACAGCAGTACTAAAAAAATACATTTGATAAAATATATTATTGTTTACAGTGAAATATTACAATAATATTTCTTTGTTTAACATTTTTATATAGGAAAAATAATTCTTCATATAATAAGTAATTCATAATAACAATTATTATTATTTTATAGTCGGAAATAAAAAAAAATTAGGCCAAACCGTGCAGCCATACAGATAAGCAAAGCAAATGTGGAGATTTTATTTGCAATTTTTTTTAACCCACAATTTAAATGTTTCCTCAAATTGTGCAGCCCTTGTTGGACAGAAGAATTAAAGTCATATGGGTTTGGAACAACACATTTAACATAGAAATGAGTTACAAGTTTAAATTAGTTTTATAGAGCACAACAACAAAAAAAGGTCCAGAGAGAGGGCGGATAATTAATCATGGAAAACAAAATGTATATTAAAAAGTAAACCTTGGGAGAAAAAATAAAATGCCTGATTTTGTCATCTAAAAAAACGTAATTTAAAAAAGTAAACCTCATTTTACTCACCCATGTGATTGAGATATAACTCCTTATGATCTGAAGAGTCTTTTGGGGCTCTAGGATTCCTTGTGCATTTTATCTTCAGCTGAAGTTGAATTGTGTCAATTTCTGTGCCTTCCTGATCCTCTGATAAACACAACACACTCAGCTGTCAAACTACCATCAATTACTTTAACAACTTCAGTCAGTTTTGGCATTTGTGGCACCATTACAAAAACGACTTTCCTCAAGATGAATACATTCATCTTATTAATTGTCACTTTAAAGTAAAAGATGTGCTTCCAGAGTTAACTTACCCGAATTCCTGTACTCAAAAAGACGAGGATCTGCTTTAATGGGCACAAGACCAAGCCTATGAGATAAAATCTCATCCTGAATTATCGATGTGTTATTGTAAATGAAGGCTTTCTCAATGGCCATTGTTGGGACCTAAATAGTCAAATGAATGAGGAAGAAAATAAACACTACAGTTCAAAGAACATGATGAATGTCACCTCCTGATTTAAGAACAGATGATAATGGCAATACAACATGTACACAAGCAGACAATAAGGTCATTACCTCAGCAAGTAAAATACGGCGAAAAGCATTGGCGATGGCCGCATCAATTCCAATCATATCAAACTCCAACGTGTTTTCATCAGAATTAACTATATCGATCCTGAAGTTCTGGAAGAGTAATATACACCTTTTGCATCAATCACGTATTAAACGCCCGACTCAGCACGATATTCATTATATAATAAAGGAATTCATGTAAAATTCACACACCTTTTTGAATTTTTCAAAGTCCCATGTGTCATCGTAACCAGGGTAATTTCCTGGATAATCCGTAGTATGGACCTGTAAATAGAGTAAATAGTAGTTACATATGTAGTTTACAGAAATACAAGTTATTAAGTATGATCATATAAATAAAATAAACAAAAAACACTGCAGTTTAAGTTTGTGTACGAAGAAACCTACATGGCATGTGCAACGTTATATAAATTATGCATACTTAAACTGAGATTGAAACAGCCTATATCGACATGAACACTATATGAATGAATACAAGTCCCGCAGAGTGCATAACTTACATTTTTAACGCCAAATTCACCCAATATTACTCTATCACGAATTTCATCCACGTTGTTCATAGGCGCCGCCATCTTTGCTGTCATTACCCTCTTGTGCCGACAGAGGGTAGAAAACTTCCATTCAAACACCCTATTCGAAAATAAGTCATTTAATAAATGCTTTATTTAACAAAACAATAAACATAGCAAATATAAGAAATAAAAAAAACATAAATTACAAAAATAGACAACTAAATAATATATAGGTTTTAAGAAAGGGTTATGCTTTGGTGTTCTTTAAACCCCATCAATATTTCAACAGACTGATTTTTTTTTTTTACACAAACTGCACAAATTCTACAAGTTGTCTACATATGCGACTGCGAGATCTACCTAAATGTTTTACCATTGTCCACTTGGTCGTGTGTGTATTTATTATATCTTATAATATTGTGTGTTGATGCAGTTCATTAAAACAGAGTAGATTTCGTTAAATCTTTTCAAATTAAGTCAGTTTTTTTAACACAACAACCGTAAACTTCAATAAATATTTTGTAAAGACTTTGTCAGTTGACCCTCAATCTCATAAAACATTGTTTTGGTCTGGATGTGTTAAGTAGATAAGCGACCTATGAAGGGAAATATAATAATATTTTGTAGTAATAATTTATAATATATTTGTTTATTTATTTATACATTTTTATATTTATTAATTGATCAATTTATTTATTATTTCATTTGGGGACTTTTATTCTAGCCTCATTAAACTACGTCACTGGAGTATTGCGCGCTCACCGTGAAGGTGCACAAGTGAATTGAAGTGAAACTTGTTCCTGAAATTAACTATTCGCGGTTCATCTCGAATGAAGTCACTCAGCCCCTCAAGATAGACCAGGCAGGCGTTCGTAGTAGTTCTCCAGCAGTTGTTTTAGGGGCTTCACACTTGGCGTGCTCTATGGACGGAACTGTGGACGGAGTTGTAGTGGAGGAGGAGGAGGGATCCACGCGTGGGTGCTTTCAGACAGACGCTTCCCTCTGCGAAGAGGACGAGAGCCAGAGAGCTAATGAACAACATCCTGACGACGAGGTACAATACTAAAGCAGCAAATTAGTCGAGTTTTTATTATAAAAGTCCTTTAACTTGTATGTAAACTGTTATTGCATATATGAACTACTCAACTAATAAATATGTTTGTTTTATATGTATATAAATAACACTTGTACTTACTTTTTCATGTGTATATAAGCTTAAAGTTTAAATTAAGTGTATATAAGTTTAAATTGCATACTTGAGCAAATATATATACAAACACTTATTTATAATGTACATTCTTACATCTAAATGTGTATATAACATAAATATAATAGTTTACACAAATATTATAAGTATATTTTATATATATATATATATATATGTCTGTGTATTATATATATATATGTGTGTGTGTGTGTGTGTGTGTGTGTGTGTGTGTGTGTGTGTGTGTGTGTGTGTGTGTATGTGTGTTGTTTATAGCGTTCCCTGCCTCTTAGGGATTTTTATCCCTATATTCGCTGTGCCCTCTGCAATGGGTTTTTCATTGATGCCACCACCATCACAGAGTGTCTTCACACTTGTAAGTTCACATTTCCTGCAACTGACCCACCAATGTAGTGGTATCAAAGTTTTTTTGTTCATATAATCCATGATCTACAACAAAGTTTTGCAACACGCCTGTTTATTTAACTTTCGCCCTTTTTCCTCCTTAGTTTGTAAGAGCTGTATTGTCAAGCACTTTTTCTACAGCAACAGGTGTCCTAACTGCTCTATTGTCGTACACCAGACACAGCCACTGTACAGTATCAGGTAAATTTAGTTTCATTGATTTAGGGCGTAGTTTTGTTTACCAGTTTTGGTCTATCGCTAGAGATTTAGTCTAGCTGTTATGTTCAGGACAATCCCTTGTGTCTAATTAGCAATAATAGCCTCACATATGTCCCAGGGTCTTTAGGGATTCGTATTAATTACTGGTCATGTTTTAACATGGTTGCCAACCTCAGTGTCAAATTTCATCCCTTTTTCTTTTAGACCTGACCGACAATTACAAGACATTGTTTTTAAGATGGTTCCATATTTGGAAGGAGGTTAGTGAAGTTAGTTTTGAACTCTCTTCTGCTACACATTTGTTGGCCCAGTTTGTCATTCCAGATATATGTGAGAAACATTTTACAGAAAATAAGTTGTTTGTGTTTTTCCTCTCAAGATGAAAGGTCGCGTATATGTGAATTTTATAAACGAAGAGGGCTTGACATTCCTAAGCCAGGTTTGTTCAATGCAATCACTTTACTAGTGTATTCTTTGAATATATATATATATTATGTTTTAGCGTTTGAGATGCTGAGAAATATTAAGATTTGAATGTGCTTATGATTCATTTTTATTTTTATTTTCGCCTAGTGGCAGCTCCATCTACTTACCCAATGAAGCTGCATCATAGACAGAAGAAAGACATGCTGCCTCAGTCTGTTTTTACTATTCCCTCAGAGCTAGATGTGTCTCTGATGTTGGAGTTTGTGGGGTCAGTAATGTTGATTGTGATTATGCTTATATATAAGTGATGTTATTCTGTTTCTAGTGCTTTCAGTCAGTGCATCTAAGGGCAATAACTTCAGAAGTTGACGAGAAATTGCATTTTGATAAAAGATAACAAAGACAAGTTAAATGTTTTTGGAATAACATGCACAGATGAATCATGCAATAAAACCAGCTGCATGGATTAAGAAAGTAAATGGAGTAAAGTTTGATTTCATGTTTCATTTAAAATTGTCTGAATGCCATGTAGGATATGTTCACTAGATGGAGCTAAACCTTTTCAAATCAAAAGACTCTGTAAAGCAGCAGTTCTCAACCTTTTTGACTCCCAAGGCCCCCTATTGTCCAACACAATATTCAAAGTATATTGGCTAAGATATTTTCTCTGGTATCTCTGATATTATTATGCCAGTGCTACTTGTTTTCAGGGGTTTTTTTATTAACAGAAACTGAGAATATTGATGTATTGAATTAATTAACAGGGATTTCAATTTTTGATTCCAGAATATTCTGTATGATCTTCAATAAAAACAATAGTTATTCTCAACTCCATGTTTGAGAGGCCATGTGGGTTTTTTTTAAATTAAAAATGAACTGATTTTGCACAATTGTAAATGCTCTATGATGTATTCTTTATAAATAATTATTTCTCTTATTACACAAACACAAATGTGATTTGCAAATGTTTCCGCTAACATTTTTTTGTGCATATCTTTGATTTATAGAGCTGAAGAGGGTGTTGAGAACTATAAGGTAATGTTCAAAAATTTTCAATTCTATTTTTGCTTCTAATAAGAGTGGCACATTACTGGGATTTTTGTGGTGATGTTTTTTCTGTATCCACATGAGATAATCCATCTTATATTCAGGCAACACATTGCAATATTATTTGTTCTTATAAAATATAAACAGATGAATCATTGCATAGAATTGAGCTGAAATTATGTTGAAGGTCTTGCTGAATTTGTCATGATTATATTTTCACCCTCAAGCCCCTTGAGAGGAAGTACGTGCGTGTGTCAGGGGAAGCCACTGTCCGTCATGTGGAGCTTTTTATCAGGAGGAAGATGGAGCTGAGTCAAAACTGCAAGGTGGAGCAGCTATTTTTTTCCCTTTATATTTAATCTCACCCACAGATATTGAACGCATTGCATATTTTTAATTATAAACCATACTCTGTATCAGGGTAAAGTCTTGGTCTTAAACAGCTTTCTTTTCATTAAATCCTGCCTCAGACAGTCTGCAATGTCAGAGGTCTAGGGGTGGAACGGTACACAGAAGTCACGGTTCGTTTCATACCTCGGTTCAGACATCACGGTTCGGTACGATTTCGGTACAATGGAGTGAAAAGCAAAGCAAAAATGCAGAAGGCATTTTTATAAATGTCTTAAACCTTGTATTTTTTAAAATAAGTTTTATTAAAGGCATAGAACCAGTTTATTTGTAGTGCACTGACAGTAGTTTTATATAATTAGTTTATTAATTAAATTATTAAAAAGACGAAAAGACCTTGAGATATGTTTGGTAATTGTACCTGAATGAATTTAAAATGAATTTGCTATTTCAGATCAAGATATTTGTTTTCCTTCATTTTAATTAACTAACTTTATTCTCATCTGAATTATAAATAATTGATTTCCGTATAAAATAATACTACCATAAAAACTTTTGTTAACAGTTGTAGGTTACAGTTTGACAAGAGTTTAGAGTGTGACAAAAGCACAATGTTGTGTTTTATTGCCAGTGTACACAAATATAAGTAAACAATTTGCAGTTTTAATGATGTCCTGTATGAAAAAAATGACGGAGTATGTTTTTACGTTTCCACTGTTCGATCGCCCGTGCCTCTCTCTCTCACACACACACACACACACACACACACACACACACTGTTCATCGCGCGATTCGCGCCCGCGCCTCTCTCTCTCTCTCGCACGCGCGCGCACACACACACACACACACACACACTGTTCATCGCGCGATTCGCGCCCGCGCCTCTCTCTCTCGCGCGCGCGCACACACACACACACACACACACACACACACACACTGTTCATCGCGCGATTCGCGCCCGCGCCTCTCTCTCTCTCGCACGCGCGCGCACACACACACACACTGTTCGATCGCGCCTCTCTCTCTCTCGCACACACACACACACTGTTCATCGCGCCTCTCTCTCTCTCTCTCTCTCTCTCTCTCTCTCTCTCTCTCTCTCTCTCTCTCTCTCTCTCTCTCTCTCTCTCTCTCTCTCTCTCTCTCTCTCTCTCTCTCTCTCTCTCTCTCTCTCTCTCTCTCTCTCTCTCTCTCTCTCTCGCGCGCACACTGACACACACACTCCTGCATTGCAATCTTGATCGCAGCCTGTTCATTGCTGCGTTAACAGTCACACCAAAAGCGAATAGAGCGAAATTTATCGCTATTTAAGAGGTTTTTTTTTTTATTTGTACCGTGTATTCTGCGTGCAAATTCGTGCACCGAACCGTGACGCCCGTACCGTTTCGGTTCAATACGAATACATGTACCGTTCCACCCCTACAGAGGTCTGAAAGATATGTGGGGTGAACACCCCCTCAGCTGTGCCAGTCGCTCAATCATTCATACTGACTGGACGGCCACCACCCTTCACACCGAGCAAAGATGTGCGGAGTCATTTAATGCAATTTCCTCCTTATCTGACTAAATTCAGCAAAATGATTGCTTGCCGTCTTTTGGGTTTCTACCATAGGTCATCTTATGAAAGTGTGATTAAAGAAATGATGTCATTAGGATGTTCCTTTTCACTCTCAACACTTCAGTGACTCTGTCACACTTAACAATCCTGCCACATTGCTGTTTAATTACTTTTCTTCTAATCCCAATTCCGGATAAGGATTTGAGTCCTTGAAAAGAACCACAGCTCAGTCAAGCATAGAAATGAGTGTCTGCAGTTGTGAATAACAGTGTTTCTGTTTGAAAAGAAAATCTAGAGCCGTGTTTTCATTATTCAGCTGTCACTTCTGCAGACTGACAGAGCTGTCTCCAGTTTGAGATCCGTATATTTCAACGTTAACACTATTTTACAGTGTCCTTGCTATAAGTTACATGTACTTACTATGATAATAACAGGAAATTATGGCAACTAACCCTAAACCAAACCCTTACCCCGTAGGAAATACATGTTAATTAATTTTAGCATGTATTAATTAATTGTATGATTTACAGTGTATCCCAAATAGTAGATTCACAGTCAGGAATATACTTCTGTATTCACACTATTTTCTGGGTTCAGTTCAGTGCATTTGTGGCAGAAAGTTGACCACAAAAATGAATTTGACTCTCCTACAACTTGCTGCCATGACAATGTAATGCCATAAACCCCAACACCCTAAAAATGACTAAAACTGTTGATTTAACCCATTTACAGATCAAATAATACACAAGTTTTAATATTTAAATTATTGTGCAATTATAAAATTATAAGCTTTCCATTTCTGCTCTGCTCAGAAAGTCAGTTCTGAAAAAGGGATAAGTTGAAGTTTTATTTTTTGGTAATGAACATGAATTGCAATATTCCTGTGTATGGCCACATGCAGCAGTTGTTAGTGAAGGCTGCTTGCATGTTGCGACGCTAACAGTTGTATCTGGATTACTGGCTTAAGGGTTTTTCCTGGCTAAGTCTGATCTGGCCCGGCGTTGAACACCTCATAGTGCCAGGGACATATACAGGGATAGAGGTGAAAGAGGAAACTTGCTCCAGGACAGCCTGCTATGCTCTGCTCCACATACTAGACTCTAAAAATTGTCTAATCATTTTGGGGGTAGACTGAGGCTGTGTTGTATATACTATACATATGGTGAATTGAAGTTCATTTCCATCTGGCATTTAAGGGGCACTGAAAAAGCACTCCTCTAAATAGTTTTATTAGTGGTCTTTGCTATTGCTCATTTTACTTGTGATATGTGATATTTTGTGAACTCTCGAGATTAAACTTTGGTATTGTGCTATAATCTGAAACAATTCTTCAAATCATGCAATGTTTTGAGGAGAGGTGTGCTATTACTTTTCCAAATTGATCAGATTAAAAGCATTTGCATTGTGCTTTATTTGGCAGGTTGATGTTGTGTGTGGAGATCATCTTCTTAAGCAATACCAGTCTTTGAGAGACGTTTGTAACACCATGGGACAAAATGCATTGCAGGTGAGTGTCTGATATAACATACTGTTTTCATATTTTTGCTTTTCATGCTATTTTTGCCTATCAGTGCATAAAATTAAATGTGGATAATGAAATATAGCCTAGACATACAATAGGCACATAGGCTAATGGGAATTGCTCAAGTCCGTAGCGGTTTCACTGAGATGTTTTTAGAGAGATTGAGCCTGAAGCAAGCTGTTAATAAGTGTGAACTACAGGCGCCTTACACAGTTCCTGTCTTGCTCTTCACACAGAATTACATTAGAGCCTTACCTGCAGCTTTAAGTGCTGCTGCCTCTCAGAAAAGCATTTTACAGTAAACTGGTTTTGAAATGGGTATTTTTTGCAGTTTCAGTTGTATCTTCGGAAATGAAAAAAAAATTGTTTTTTTTTTTTGTCTTTTGATACAGGAAATTGAAAATGTTTGGTTATCTCTTGCTTAGTTCTGTATGTGTTGTAGAGGCGTCATTAACAGTCACAAAGACTTAACACAACAATTTTTTTTTAAATGACATCTGTGATCATTCATTGTGAATTAACAATCGGGTATCAATATAAATATTTTTTCATCAAAAATACAGTACAAATTTTTATATTTTAACATATATTATTGAAATTTAAAACACCTACTTTCTATTTTAAGATGTTTAAAAATGTAATTTATTCTTGTGATGGCAAAGCTGAATTTTCAGCATCATTACTCCAGTCTTCAGTGTCACATGGTCCTTCAGAAATCACTTGTAATAGAGTGGTGCAGGTATGATGTCATTTTGTAGGCCAATCGGCAGTTAGTATCACACTGGTTCCCTCAACAAAAACCCCACAGGGTTTTCCCTTAGGCTTTTGGATTATCTCTAAAAACGAGCTCTGTGATCAACAAAAGTTTATAATACTTGCTCGTTTTGTCCATCAAGGTAATTATCACAGATAAACACAAGTTTTATGAATTTTGAAGCCTAAATGCAGTCTCCAGAAGTAAAAGGCTAAAGGTAGGCTATAAACGAACTGCACCACGGTCCCACGACTTCAACGTCACCATCATTGAGCTTCCGACAACTCTTCAGTTTTTATCTAAAAACATTTTCCCAGAACGTACGAGTTAGAATAGTTTATGAAAGCACAATTATAAGCATAATGAGGCTGTACAAGTGGACCGGAAGTGCTAAAATGCTAACTCGTTTCTGCGTTTTGGTCTACAAAGTGATGTCGCACATGCACCAATCTATATGCTGATTTGATGTTGTATCTTGTATTTTACATTTCTTCTTATTATTGTTTTCAAAGTTGTGCTGCTTAATATTTTTGTCTACATCTTTTGTAACAATCTAAATGTCTTTACTGTCTTTTTTGTCAATTTAATGTGCACTTGTGGAATAAAAATAGCACTTTCTTACTGACCCAAAACATTGCTGTATACGTTGTATTCCTTAATACACACATTTCTTATTCTCCCCTTTTAGGATGGCATGCTGGTTCTGCACTTCGGACTCGTTCTTCCTGCTTAGTAAAGAGGGAAGATACAGAAAGACCAACTACTGTGAAAACTACAATGCACAGTAGTTTTATTTCAAGGGCTAAACTGAATTTTAACATACAACAGTTATCTTATGCAATGATTCTTTTCAATGGGTCTTCCTGGATGCCTTTTGCTCAAAAAGATTAAGAATATGCCAGCATTCTCTCTGCCAAATGCATTAAGAAACATAAGCACTGATGAGTTATTTCCAGCAAATACTTATTTCCACAGCTGTAATGTTTCTGTAGATGCTCTTTTATATGTTTGCTAGGGGAAAACAAAGAATTTTTTGACACCTTGTCTCAGAGAATGTCATGAATTGACATGAATTTAATTGCTTGGTTTTTGCATGTCATTTTGTGGTTAAATGTGTTGTGCATTAAAGTAAATTGGTACTAAAGTACCTGGACAATACCTAAATTGTTAGAAGTATTTCTTTCTTTGCAAGAATTTTTTTTTTTTTTTTTTTACCTGTTTAATGGCCATTTAAGTGTTTCTGGTTGTTCTTTTTTTCTTTGTTAATATCAGATGGAAATCTTTTTGTACTTTTTTTTTAAGCCATATTGTGTAATAACATGGCCTTTGAGGAAAAATGACCTTTCAAATATGTTTTTTCATATTTTGTAATAATAAAATTGAAGTCTTTTTTTGTTTTTAAAACAGCTTCACAACTTAATGTAAATCTGTGCATGACCAGACAAGAACTTAATGCAGATAAATACTATGCAACTATTATGCACTCATTTTCATTCTGTCATCTTTTTAGTTTTGCAAAATATTTTGACCAATTCTAATTTGCTCTTTGTGTGCTGCTGATTTCAAGTTGCTAGACTGTCTTATTTACACTTAAAATAGAGCATTAGCCTAACTGTAATGCTAGTCACCTGTAGGAGATTCTTTGTTAAAACCATTATCAGAAAATACCCGGGAGAGTCAGAGGCTTGATGGTGCAAGAGTGAAAGACGCTGCTCAGTGCTCACTAACCCTGTTGAAAATGGTTTCCAAGAGAACCGCCTCAAACAGCCTGCAGGATTTTGGTTCAGACATCATTTATCACTGTAATGTGTGTAGGATTGCAGGTCAAAAACTGTCAATCTGATATCACTTTTTAATGTTTTACAAGTGGTAATATAACATTAACTGTGGTTTGATGATCTGATTCAGTGCATCCCTATATCTCTTTTTACCTTACTTGTGTGAATATTAGATGCAGAGCTGTCTTGGTGATTATAATGTGAATTTACTGACTTTTTTAACAGGACAATGATTCATGAAGGCATCTGCCATATTTTTCATTGATTGACAGTCCTTCAGAACAATGCAAAGCAGTAGCCGTGTCGTGTGGAGGATATAGTCATTTCTTTAAATTCTCTTACTGTTGTGTGTGGAGAGAGAGAGAGTCCATGAGCCTTTAAATAGGACATCAGCTTTCTGCTATTGAACAGGCTAGTAGGCTGCTTTAGAAAATATGTTCAAAAGTTTCGGGTCAGTACAATTTTTTTTTTTTTTAAGTACTTTTTTTTCAACAAGGATCCATTGAATTGATCACAAATGACTTTAAGACATTTGTAATGTTACAAAAAATTCAATTTCACAAATTCCGTTTTGTTTATTTTTTTTTTTTTACTGTATATTCATCAAAGAAACCAGAAAAAAATGTAACATGGATTCCACAAAAATATTAAGCAGCACAACTTTTTTCAACATTGATAATAATAACAAATGCTCATTGAGCAGCAAATCAGGATGTTAATAGGGATTTCTGAAGGATCACGTGACACTGAAGACTGGGGTAATGATGCTGAAAATAAGCTTTGCCATCATAGGAATAAAAAACATTTTGAAATATATTAAAATACAGTTATTTTAGGTTCTAATAATATTTTACAATATTACTGTTTTTACTATATTTGTGACTTCTTTGACTATGAATCTTACCGACCCCAAACGTTTGAGTGGTAGCGTAGCTCTAACCATAAAGTCCTGATAATAATCAAGATCACTATGCTTCAAGTAAAAGAGTTGCAGGTAAATGTGCTAAATCTGAGTCTTTAGTGAGTTTTAAGAATAAATATCCATTAAGCGCTGTAAAGTAACATTCAATGGGACAGAACCGATCAGTGATGTTGAGAGTGATTTATGAATGAAAAGACATAACTGAACAAACATTTTAATTACTGACTTTATTATAGTTAAGGCATGTGTTACAGTTAATTAAGTGGTTTGGTCCCTTATTTGTAATATGCCATAGTGCTTTCCAACAATCATAAATAATTGTGCATTTATCCATAATCGTTTGATCAGTGTTAATGCTGGCTATATCTTGGCCATCCTTCCATACTGAGGCTCATTTTTATTGTCCTAACATCATCAAAAGGACAAAAATACTCTCTGAAACTACAACTAAGACACACACAGTAAATATTTTAGTCCTATGTTCTGGAGTATTAAACCAACATACTGTAGAGATGGTTTTTGAAACATTATATCATCATAACAATTTCCATAAACAACAAGTGGCAGTTTTCAGCTAATAGCAGTGATTGCTGTACCAAACACTCAAAATACTGCTGGGAAAATTGCTATGAAAGCTAGATTTAACAATCATAATATTCTAGTTAGAGTTAACATCAACAGCATCACTCTTTTCTGCCTTCTTAACCACAGCGGATTCCTCCGTGTTTTCCTCCCGCTTGGCTGCTGCCTTGGATTTGCCGTGTACCTCCTCCTCTTTCTCTTTTTTGGGATTGCGGGTTGAGGTGAAAGCAGAGCGGCTCTGATACCCATAAGTGATGCTGGGTGTGCTGGAGAAAGTCACTCCAGAACTGAAGTGGGTTTCTTCACCCTCCAGTAACTTTCTATGAGGACATCGACAAAGACTGGTCAGTTATTATTCATTTTCATTCTCATGCATCAGTTCTTTCCATGTGCAATAACACTGAATCATTAGTGCTTTACCTGTACGCGGCAATTTCAATGTCTAAAGCCATCTTGACGTTCAGAAGATCCTGATACTCTCTGAGGTGACGGGCCATTTCACTCTTAGTATTTCTAAGTTCAATGTCCAGCTGCCCAATTGTTTCCTGGTTAATGGAATTGAAAAAAATACACACAGCGATATTAGCATTAGCACAAAGATATTGTAATAAAATTACAAACATAAGGAAATGCATTACATGAAACCATCTTGCACTTTTCACATTTACATAACCATCTCACTGTTGAGTATTTAATTTAGCTCAGCACCTAAATTAGACCATCCTGCTTCTAAAAGCTGATGTGAACCTTTATCTCTTGACATTGACTTGCCATCTCGGCACAAAGTTCAGAGACGCTAATCTGATTTACAGTGGCACTTCTTTCACTCTTAAGAGAAGAAAGGTCATAGATCATGTCTGGGAAAAACTTCGCATCAAAATGTATTGGATTATTTATATGTCAGCGTATTAACTAAAGATACCTTTCAGGTTTCTGTCAGCAAGTGAGCATGACCTTGCAGAAATCTCCCTTGCAAAATCCTCTTTATCAAGAGACTCTTCTTAGTGGAATTAACCTCGGCCACCTCTTGTGTGCGATTAGTTCAGCACCATGGACAGAGACCCGGGTAGTTGACATGGTATTTCTAGCAGTTTCAGCTGTGTCATGTGGTATAATTCCTCTCAAACTTTTTTACTGAGCTCCTTACATTTTTCATGAGCTCATAATAATTGGGTGATTAAATTACATATTTATATGTTAAACCTTTATGTGTCACACAGCAGGAGCATTTAAATGAACTAGTGAAGGCAAAGGGGTTATTAAAAATGGTGCAAAACAGTCACATCACCTAAACATACACTTTCCCTTATATATTTATAAAAAATTCATGTAAAATCTCAATATTGTGTTTAAAAAAGTTAATTATGTCAACAAACCTTCAGAAACCATTGAGTTATACATGACTCGATCACTTATTCAAATATGAGTTACATTTAAATGTAAAAATAAGTAAAAATACAACAACTTAAAGGGGACTCAAGAATAATACATTGTTGTTTGAATAGATATTCAGCTATTGATAGACAGACAGACAGACAGACAGACAGACAGACAGACAGACAGACAGACAGACAGATAGATAGATAGATAGATAGATAGATAGATAGATAGATAGATAGATAGATAGATAGATAGATAGATAGATAGATAGATAGAAATGTTTCTCAATATTATTATTATCAAATTGTTTTTCATTTCTATGTTTATTGATACATGGTCAACTTCAATATGAAATGTAATTTTTACCTGATAACCTGCGACCTCGGCATTGTGCGCATCTTCCATCTCGCGGATCTGCCGTTCAAGAGATTCGTTTGTGCCGCGCAAGGTTTCAATTTCAATGGTTTTGGACTGTAGTTGTCGCCGGTAGTCGTTGATCTCCTCTCTCGTGGCTCTCATGGCCTCGTTGGTTCTAGTGGCCTGTTCATTGAGACTGGTAAACTTTGATTTGTACCATTCCTCAGCAGACTGAAGGTTCTTCGACGCGAGGGTTTCATACTGCCCACGGATATCTTTGAGGGCCGAGGTCAGATCAGGCTTGGATAACTCCACTTCCACAGATATCTGGGCTGCCTGGATCATATTAGTCAACTCCACCACCTCTTCATCATGCACCTTCCTCAGAAAATTGATCTCGTCCAAGAGGGACTCGACCTTTCTCTCCAGGTCCACGCGCACCATGGTGGCATCATCCACATCTTTCTTGTAGGATCTGAGCGTCTGCTCTGCCTCCTCGCGCGCTCGCATCTCATCCTCAAACTTCCCTCGAAGTTTCTGCAGTTCTTCCTCGATACAATCTCGTTCAATGATAATATGTGATTTTTCATTGTTTATCTCGTCCACCTGAGCTCGCAGATCGCGGATCTCCTGCTGATAGAGGTCCGCGAGCCTGGACGGCTCGTTCTGCCTCTGGCGCAGACTCACGAGCTCGGTCTCCAGCACTTTATTGTGCTGCTCCAGATTGCGCACTTTCTCGATAAACATCGCGAAACGGTCATTGAGACCCTGAAGTTGTTCCTTTTCATTGGTTCTGACGATTTTAAATTCGTTGTTTAACACGGATGTTTGAGAGAAATCCACGCTGTCGAAATGGACCGGTGAGAAGGAAGATGACCGGCCCGATCTCTTGTAGTAGCCCGCGGGAGAGGCGCTGCTGCGGGATAAAGAGTGAGACCTGAAGCCGCTGGAAGACAAGGAGCTCATTCTAGAGGTGGAACCGGTAAAACGAGGGTTTTCCCCGAACATCTTTCTATAGGAAGAGGACATGTAGTGATCTGATCCGTAACTCATCTTCGTCACAAAGGAGTCTAAAATGGGTGTGCTTGTCATTATATAGCCTACCCGGCGGACTGTCCCATTCAACAGCCTATCATGTT